TGCAAATGTCTGAACTTCAAAATACTCCTTTTCAACTTCATCTTCAAATTCTTTTTTGTTCAACTTCAACCAGATATTGTCCAAATGCCTCCTACTAGATCATTTAGTGTCCACAAGGTATCGTGCCTGTGTTTTAGGTTATGGTTTGGCTATTTGCATGCTCCTGGATTAAACATAGCAAATTCACCATCTTCTTAGGATTGTTTCTTTTACTATTTTCTAATTTGAGATACAGTGGACAAACCTCATGCTTATATCACTGAAATATGAAGTAACTGGTCTGCGAAGAATTATTGGATTCTGAATTCTTTCTGATTGTGCTTTTTAACAATAAGATATTTTATCTGATTGAGATAAATCTGGGTATCCAACCACATATGCAATGTATGCTTATTTCCATGTCTAATTGTCTATATATCTGTACATTCATAGTGCATCTTGTTTTCTTATTTGCTTACCCTTTGTTATTTCCTTATTTATCGATCATTTTATAGTCTTATTCATCTCAAATTTTTAACAGGACATTTAGTTTGATTTATAGTATCTTGTGATTGTCATCTGAATTTCGACCCTCTTCATCAAACTATTAGGTGATGGAGTCTCATCAAGCAAGTAAACTGGACACTTCTGGAACTGCGAAGGCTGTTATCTCTTGCTTTGAGAACCTAGGTGTTTCTTTTGATTTGGATAAGGTGCGTCTACTGCTTTGCTTATTCAATAACGACAAAACATTGTTCTATCATGGTTCTTCCATACCCTCAAATTTCCATTCCCCCTTCCAGTTTTACTATTTTAGTTCGTCCGGACTTTTTCCTTTTCACTAAATAGTGAACTCTCTTATGAAAATGCTACTCTACGAATTTGATTGTGGTCTTCCATGCTTTTATGAACATGAGTTCATCTTTGCACAACTTGACTATCCTCAACTTTAGTGTCCGGTGTAAATAAGTTGTCTGGGAAAGAATCTGATAGTGTAGGTGAAAGGCATCTAAATGCATAGTCATTGATGGAGTTTCAGGTCTAGGCTGGAGCCAAGTTGAGTGGCAATAACTGCCACAAATAAGTTATTTAACTATGTTTTCAATAACTGCAATGGACTTCACGAAAGGATTTGATGGTAAAACCATCAGACTAGTACAATATATGTATCACCACTCTCTCTATCCCGTGTATTGCTTAAGAAAGGGGGCTATTGCTCTAAAAATTTTCTGTATAATGAATCAAATTTCTGAAAAGGTGACCCCGATCTGTTAGATATAGAGAATCCACTATTTTTTTTCCTTTTAGTTAAAAAAAAACATCCACTATTTTTTCTTCCAAAGCTATCATCGTCCCTGGCACTTTATTGTGATTCTTCTTGCTCCTATATAATATCTTTTTCCATCTAATTCCTATATCTTACCATAGTGCCAATTGGCTTTGGGTTTACCTACCCCTGCTGCGGCCCATTTCTTGGGACACACATTCTTCTAGGTAACTTGCAGATTTATGTTTCTCCTTCTTTCATGGACATTCATTTAGCAGAACTCACCACGTTCTCTTAAATCCATTGCACTATTTCAATATCAGCAAAATGTCTAGAGTAGATTATATATCCTGTATGGCACAAATGTTCCATTAGACTTGTCTGAGTGGTTTCTCCATCTTGAAGTGGTGGTGCAGACTGCCAATTCAGTTATTGAATATTTCCAATCTATCTTTCAAGTTTGGAAGGATAAGAGAATGAAATGGAAGATAAAAGGTCTAATAGATTTTCAGGGTCTTCTGTTTTTTTGGAGGAAAAGAGAATGAAAACGAATTATATAAAGATTAAATTAAATTGGAGTTGGAGCATATAGAGAAATTCAATTTGCTGTCAAGCCTTGAAATTGACTTCTTCTATAACATGCATTGAAGTTAATATATTCTCAAATCCCCTTCAGAATATTCTAGTTATCCTCATGTATATTCTATCAGGTACAACTAATACGAGACCCCGTGCAACAAGTTGAGATGGTTGGTGTACCAGAAGAGTACTTGTTAGGCCATGCTTTCCATATGTACCATTTGACCTCACCAGACGGAACGTAATACTTTCTATCCGCTTTCTTTTTGCTGTTGCCAATGTCTTTGATAATTGAACAGACACTAATTTGGTTTCTCTCTTTCAGTGTTTCTTTTGAATTTCAGCACAATGTTTGTGGTAGATCAATCTATGCAGAGGGAACAGTTGATGCTATACTTTTCCTTGCTAAGAAGGTAAACCAAACTTACAAGAGCTTCTCATTACTGCCGTTTCACCATGTATCTCAAGGAACACAATCAGTTAGAATAGAATAACAATGTATGATTCTAATATAGGTGAAATTGAAAGAAGAGAAGCGGATATATGACATGATCGACGTGCTGCGAGAGGGCAACATGCGATAGCAGCTGAGTTACATATGCTGGAGTAGTAAGATGTATAACATTTAGACCTGTCGGTGGAGAGAAACGAATGGTGGGTTCAATTTTCTTGATTTTGTCCTTCCATTGGTTAGGATCTGGAGTTGAATGATTCTTAAGATGCAGCAATCAAAATAATATGATTAGTAGGTTTAGCTCCAGCCTCCATGCAAGCATTGAGTGTGCTTCTCTTGTTGTATGCTTTTTCTTCCCTTTACATTTGTACTACTAGAAGATGGGAGGTTTTCGATGTTCTTGACAAGTAAAATATTCACTACGTATCGAGTTTTTTCTATTTTTCTGTTGAGATTATTACATGACCATTTCTCTTCTACCCTTGATGACCTTTGGTGGATAAGTGTTCAGCTTTACAGTTCAAGCATTCACTTGCTGTGGCGGACTATAGACTCTATCCGCTTTGCTTTTCTTGATTGTAGTCTGAATCCAACGAGTAGGATTTTGTCAGTGTGACAGATTTTCCAAATATTATAGGTGTTGATTCCCTTAAGTTGTCATGTATTTGTTTCTTTATAGTTGGTTGCAGTTCCTAGGCTTTGAATTTTTGACAGCCAGTGTAATCTACCACCGTATATGCTGGATGTGAATTTAAGAGTGGCACGAGAAACACACATAGCATTCTAGTTTAGAGGTGGATTCAAAATTTGAAGGTTCTGATATCTCTATTTTTCGTGTAAACTTACTACTAATTACAGAGATCAACCGATCAGTTCATTTTGTTTTGTGTAAATTCTATTCAATTTATAAAATTTTTGCTTCATAAATTAATACATATCACTGATCACGACACCAAAATAAGTTTTGGCCATATTCAATGTAAAATATTTTCTTCAATAAATGTATAAATAAGGAATTACCCCTTTTGAATTTAATTAGAGTAATAAGCAATTTTCCACTAATTGATATTTCTACAAGAGAAAAACAAGACAACATAAATATCAATAACACAAGTAAAGATTAGAGATTTTTTTTTTATTATTTAAAAAAGTTAAACTCAAATTGAATGGAGTAATATTTTGGCTATCTCTTCGGAAGATATAACAAAGGAGCAAAAATATAATATAATACATCTAATCTAGTCAAGATAAATAAGAAAATGATGGTATAGAAATTTCTAGCGTAGCATCAGGGTCGGATGTCACGTCACTCCCCCTTTCTACGTAAATATAGTTACTTGGAAAAATCAACCAAAAAGGTTGGAACAATATAATTATCATTGGCTACTAATGTCATCGTTTTACTTTTCACTCATTTAATTTGATGATAAAAGTATCAAAGTCCGGTAGGAAAGCTCATGAAACATACTTTGATACGTAAAATTCTAAGTTTAGGTTATTTGACTGGAATTGTCTAGACAGAGCTGGAAAATGTCTCTAAAAAATAGAGCTGTCAAAATGGATTTGGTTCGCTAAGCCGGCTTAATCTAATTCTTGAATTAGATGGGGTTGGGTTTAATTTTTTCAATCCATTTAGGAACAATGCTTTTTAGTTAAGCCTCATTTGGTCTATCTCGCAAGTCTCAGAGGCCAGCCACGTTCGCTGTGAATTTTAAAAATGCTGTTAATTTTAAAAATATTTATTATATATATTTTAGATAGTGTTGCACTTCTTAAGATTTTATTAATAAATATTTTTTAAAATATCAATATAAACAAATACTATATTTTTTACATATATTTTACATTTTTTTGGGGTCATTAACCGACTAAATTTCTTATTAGCCAAAGTCTATTACTCCATTATAATTACAAATCTTTGACCTCTTTTATTTTTGTTTTTATGCTTCATTTTTTCAATTCTCCTTTATTGTCTTGTTTAAGAAAATAGTAATCATGTAATGTTTTTTCGCTCAGATGAATCATCTGAATGTTGTATCTTGGTTATTATATATTTGTTTTGTAAATTTTTCATTGAAGTATTTGTAATTCATGAATGAATTTATGTATGTATTGATGTCGTGTTCATCGGACATCAACATTCGTTTCCTTTCTAGGAGAAAAATATTGTCTCTTTTTTTATTGAAGGACCAACTCGTGGCCCACTTAGTGCTTAGTTGGATTGCTTTTTTTTTTTATCCTTTAATTAAAAGGGTCAGCCTGTCCCAACTCAATTAACTCTCTAGTCCGTTTGGGTTGGATTGAGTAAATCCATTTTGATAGCTCTACTAAAAAGGATGAAGACTCAAAGTTATCTCTGTACTGCTTTTAGGGATCGTTCGATAGTGTTATTAAAGTAATAAATTACTTTTATATAAGTTAATTATTTAATATTTGATGGTTAGTTTGAAAATAAATAAAACTATTTCCATGTTTGACTTATACCTATAAATTTGTATTTTCATATTATAGTTGAACAAGTTCCTTGATAAAAATTGAACTCTAAATTATTCACACCTGGTTATAAACAGTTTCCAATTATTATATTCACATTAGTTTTAACAGATTCTATGGAACCATGCACTTACATGTTTTTTTTTGTCTATATAAATGACATAACATCTTTCAATTTTATTAATCAGTTACATTTGGTATTAGACATAGAAGAGAAATTAGAGAGAGATGGAGAGAATACTGTTGTCTCTTGTAATTTTACAATTTGTGTATGCAGGTGAAGTGGTTTGTTTTTCATTTGGTGATCCACTTTGCTCTTCTCATGATTCCCTTTCACTTTTACAGTTTAAGCATTCACTTAGCCTGACAGACTACCATGATTGTGGTAGCCCCTATTCTAAGACGACGTCTTGGAATAGTACTAGTATGGATTGTTGTAAGTGGGATGGAGTTACCTGTAATCTCTTAACTGGACATGTCATTGGTTTGGACCTCAGTTGTAGCAGACTTGGAGGAACTCTACATCCAAATAGTAGCCTTTTCCAGCTTCGTCATCTTCAAACACTCGATCTTTCCCTTAATGGCTTTTCGGGTTCTCAATTTCCACAAGGGATTGGTCAGTTAGTCAGCTTAGCTCATCTCAACCTTTCTTATTGTTGGTTCAAAGGAAGGATTCCGTTAGAAATGTCACACTTGACCAATTTGGTTTCCGTTGATCTCTCTAATAATATCAATGTCCAGTTCAGTCAGGAAGGGTTCAATAAGCTCTTTCACAACTTAACCAAGTTAGAACTACTTTCTCTTTCTGAGGTGAACATTTCATCCAGCATACCAATGAATGTATCATTCTCTTCTTCTTTGAGGTATTTAAATCTTGCTACCACTAACTTGCAAGGAGACTTGCCAAAAAACATTTTCCTCCTGCCCAAATTGGAAACGCTCAGACTCTCACGAAATCATCTCACTGTTTCTTTACCCGAGTACTCTAACAAGACTCATTCACTAACGGAGCTGGACCTCTCTTATAATAATGTTTCTGGACGGATACCCAATTCACTCGGAACTCACAAATCCTTAAAGCTTCTGCTACTTCCTGGGTGCAACCTCATTGGTCCTTTTCCAGAATTCATCAGGAATTTTTCACAAATCACCCAACTGGATCTTTCATACAACAATTTGCAAGGCAGAATTCCTGATATTTTTTCAAACTTGCAAATGCTTACACACTTACTACTACACAACAACAACTTCACTGGCCCCTTCCCATCTTCTCATGTGAACTTGACAAACCTTCAAGTGTTGACTTTGACAAACAATTCACTCAGTGGTCCACTTCCAGAGTTTAAGGCCAACTCTCTAGAAAGACTTGATTTGTCTCATAATCAATTCTCTGGTCCCATACCTCAATCGCTTACACATCTTCTCAACCTAGCTGATGTCTTTTTTGGACACAATAAGTTGAGCGGTGAGATTGGAGCAGAAACGTTTTCAAGCATGAAAAACCTTCAATATCTTGATCTTTCTCATAGTGGTTTATCATGGAGTAGCAATATTATTATTAACAACACCGCTTTTCCCCTTCTTTATTCTTTAGGTTTGAGCTCTTGCCGTGTGAAAGATTTCCCGAATTTCTTACTGAACTCTAAGGAGATACGGATTTTGGATCTCTCGGAAAATGAAATTCACGGGCAGTTACCTAAATGGTTTGGGGGTTTCAGCGCATTATATGTCCTTAATATCTCTCACAACTACCTTACAAGCTTAGACCATATACCTTGGGAGAAAATGATGATACTTGATCTTCAATCAAATTCACTCACAGGACCTTTGCCATCTCCCATTTGCACAGCAACTTCACTTTATATTATGAATTTGTCTTGCAATAATTTGAGTGCTGAAATTCCCAATTGCTTGCTTACTCTTTCCTGGCTCATGGTCTTAGACTTAGGAGCTAATAACTTCCATGGACCCATCCCAAATAAATTCCCAAAGAATAGTACACTAGTGCATGTTGATTTGAGCAAAAATCAATTGGAAGGTCCCCTACCAACATCACTAGTCAACTGTACATCCTTAAGAATCCTTGATTTGGAAAACAATAAGATACGCGATACATTTCCCACCTGGCTGGAGGCGTTGCAAGAGTTGGAGGTTCTCATGCTGAAAACTAATAGATTTTATGGACCAATGGTTGGTTTTAAAAAGAAATCGCCCTTTCCATGTATGAGGATCTTTGACCTCTCCGACAATTCAATTACCGGCTCTTTACCTACGGAGGTTCTTAAAGGTTTCAAAGCCATGATGAACATGGACGCACACAAATCAGGATTGGAGTATCTTGGGGAAACTTTTTCTATCCTGGGTAATATATACGAGGTTTTGTATAGCGGATGGTATGCGGAATCTATCCTATTAGTGATGAAAAATCAAGAGATTGAATCCAAGAAGATCTTGAGGATGTTCACAACAATCGATTTGTCAAGGAACAAGTTGGAAGGAGAAATCCCTAAATTCATTGGGAATTTGAATTCACTTCTGCTGCTGAATTTATCTCACAACAGCCTCACAGGACACATTCCTGTTGAAATGAGGAACATGAGCACTCTTGAAGCTTTAGACCTTTCATTTAACCAGCTTACCGGCAAAATTCCAGAGGAATTGGCAAGTCTTACATTTCTCGCGGTCCTAAATCTGTCACACAACCATCTTGTTGGACGTATTCCTCAGAGTAATCAGTTCAATACATTTCAAAATGATTCCTATTTTGGGAACTCCGATTTGTGTGGATTACCACTGTCAAATGAATGTGGGAAGCATAAGAGTGCATCAGCACCAGTTGAAGATGAACCAAGTATTCTTAGCGAAATGACTTGGCAGTCTGTCCTAATGGGGTATGGCTGTGGATTGACATTTGGACTAGGCATAGTGTATCTCATATATCGCTTTGAAAGGCCAAGATGGTTCATAAACTCTCTTGAGATTATCATTAATGAAATGATATACATAGTACAGAGAGCATGTAAAAGGTGCAGGAGGAATTAGACAGTGAAAATAAATGAGTTCATAATAATTAATCAATAGTCTTATTATTGTTTCCCAATAAAAAATTATGGTGTTTTCTTTAAATCAATAGATGAGTTCATGATAATTAAAAGATTGACCTAGTTTGACTTTAGTGTTTTCTTAGCGAAATGACTTGGCAATCTGTCCTAACCGGGTATGGCTGTGGCTTGACATTTGGATTTGGCATAGTGTATCTCATATACCTCTTTGAAAGGCCAAGATGGTTCATAAACTCTTTTGAAACTATCACTCATGAAATGATATACATAGTACAATTTTCACACTGAAAATCTCTGAGGTAATAACTAATAACTAATTCATTATTTTCTTGTCTACATAATCAAGCATACATTTTATTAGCAATACTTGTTTGGCAGAGTATATTAAAAGAAATAATGCATGCATTAACAGTAATGGTATAAATGAGTCAAATTTTTAACTGATGACATAAATGAATTTTTTCTGAAAATTAAATGACATATTTGAATATTTTTTCTAATATTAATGAGATTGGAAACTTTGTTTTATTGCACAAGCTCTAGTCCCAAAAGATTTTCTTAGCTATTCAATACGTTGAAACTTTATTTGTTTGATTGTTTGATTTTCAATAATAAATCAAGCAAGTGTAGACAATATCCTGATGTAACTCATTGCTATTCAGATTGCAAATCAAAAGTATGAAGCAAGAGAGAGGTCAGAGTATGCCACTAGAGCATGGGCTTGGGAAAATAGTTATTTATAATTTTAAAACATGCAGATTGTTGTTTTTAGTATACTAGTTTTTGGACATGTGTGTTGCGCATGCGTGTATTCAATGTAATATTTTATGAATTCATTAGGATAACTAAAATTTAATGAATATATGTGTGTAATGAACATTAAAGTGCAAAAATCTCAGATAAATGTTATCACAAATTTTTTATATAGAAAATTAAATTTAAAAAGACTAATAGATAGAAAATATAAAAATAAATATAGAAGAAAAAAATAAAAACATACACGACCTTTTTAAGACTTCAATCATAATTAACAACAAATAAATGAAAAAAGAAATACAAAATCCATATATTTTTTTTGAGTTTTTGTCGACATCTTCTCCTGTATCAAAATACAAAAGTCTTCTCCATTGAGTCAAATCAAAACACGAATTAAATAGAAAAGTTACTTCATTTTCATAAAGTGATATATAATTAGACTAAAGTAGATTTATTATATACTTTAGATGTTGAGCTTCACTAGCTTAACTATAAAATAAAAAGGATAATCTTATATGTGAGTTTCGTCGGACAAAAAAAAAAGAATTTATGTAGACAAAAATAGAGGAAGACCAAAAGAAGACATCTTAAAGATTTAAATTAAATATTTGATAGGTATGAACAAAAGAGAACTTGAAAGTTAGATATAAGTTATGAAGGTAAATATTTAAAACAAAAACAATAATATTTTTAAAAATGTAGATAAAGAAAAGTATCGCAAGTAATATTTAAGTGAATCACCACTATCAGTAATTTTTAAGAGCCAAAATAAAAAAAAAGATTAATTTTAAAAATATTATATATATGCAATGAGCCTCCATTAAAATCTCGAAGAATAAACAATCCTTCTTTCAACATATAATCTCTCCATTTACTCAAGGTAGTAATTAATTATTGCTAATAGTTAAATATGTAATTAAATAAATATTTATAATATTTTAATTTAGTTTCTAACTTTTTCTTTTTTGTAATATATATAATTAGTAATATATGCTTGTACAAGCAACTTATTACTCGTGTTGTTATCATTGTTTCCCAATAAAAAATTATAGTAAAATTTACATAATTAGAACACTTCATCCTTTTGTAATTCATTGTTTATTATTGCTCTTCAGACTGAAATCAGCAAGGAAGAAATCAGAGAGCTATCACTGTGTCTGTTTGGGAATGCAGATTATCATTATCATCATGTTAATAACTAGTAGTACTTATCTATTAAGTATTACCGTAAACTCAATATTTGATCATTATATTTATCTCAAAAGTTAAAACAAATTAAGAAATGACATCTATATGCAAGGTTTACAGAACAAAAAAGTGTCCTCGAATATTTCCTAAAAATGAATGCCCAATTTGAAATACTTTATTTTGTTAGCAAATGCTTATCCATTAATTAAAAAAATTAAGAAATAAAACTCTCTATTTTGTTAGAAGTTATTTTTACCATTATTTAAACGAAATTTAACTATGAATTTACATAGATATATAACCTATATTATCAGATAAATAAAGGTACATTGAGCCGAGTCAATGATACGTGGTGTGGCGTACCTGATCGTTTAGTCAACAAGACGTACGTAAGTCGACATAACTCCATGTATATGTTTTTTAGAGCTAGAGCCAATCAATAGAATGAAGTCATCAAATTAACTATCATCCGCATTTATATTGAATAAGAAAATTTCACCATTCACTTGAAATTGTGTTTTTAAATATCAGCAATAACATTCAAACTCTATAGTATCAAAAATATCTGAACATTATTTTTTTTAGAAAAATCTTGGATCTATAAAACATGCTTTTTTTAAAAAAAAAAAGAAAAGAGGGAAATTCATTAATCTTTACATGTGAAATATAATAATCAAATTAAAATAAATAAATATTTCTAAAAAGTGAACTAAAGGTGTAATTTTCCTATATAATTAGTCTTTTGAGTTAATTTTCTATTTTAGTTGATAAACCAGATTTTAAAAAAAATATTATTTCCTACAGTTTTATTAATTAATATTTTTCTTTTATTAAAAATAAATTCATTTATATTTCTGAACCAGACTACATCAAAGGAAAGAGATATTTTTAAATCTGTCGTGTTTAAGGATTAAAATAAAGGAACCAAAGAATACTAATATTATGTTCCTACAAAACAAATAACCCCAAAGTCAAAAACCTATAAAAAATGGAACCGAAGTAGAGAATTAGTTTGAAATTAGTGCTTCAACGATTTCTTCTTCTTCTTCCTCAATCGTGGTTACCCCATGTAAGTGAATCTTTGAAACTCTACTACACTGCTTTGTATGTATGTATATATTTACAATTTGCATTCTAGGGTTTGTGGGTATCTTGTTATTTTCTTTTTCTATCACAAATCGTATAGTGGCTCGACAATCAGTTCTTTTGTTTATAGATTTGTTCAGCTTATAGGCGTAAAATTTACTTCTTTCTTGTTTCTGGGTTGGGTGTTTTTGATCTGAATTGTTTATACATCTAGGTTTATTTGATTAAGATTCAAAGTTTATTCGGTGAATGTTCTGTAAAGTTTGACTATACAGTTGGGTTATGTGGGGTTACCGAATTTTTATTTCTTTTTGCAGTTTTAGGGGATTCTTGAAGTTGAACTATGATTTACACGGCAATAGACACATTCTATCTAGCAGAGGAGCAGCTTGTAGAATCTCCTTCTAGGAAAGATGGAATCGATGATGTTACAGAAACAGCGCTTCGAATCTATGGTTGTGATCTCGTTCAAGAATGTGGGATTTTGCTCAGATTGTATCCTTTTCTTTTTATGGAGTTATTATGAAGGTATATGAATCATAACAACTGGGTTGATTTTTTGTTTTTACTTTTCTGAAATAAAGTTCATCGCATTTGGCTTTGGGTGTCTCCTTAACATGATAATTTGCAGACCTCAAGCTGTAATGGCCACTGGCCAAGTGTTATTTCATCGCTTTTACTGCAAGAAATCATTTGCCCGTTTTAATGTGAAGGTTTCTTTCTTGCTCCAACTCCTACTTCCTTCAAAAGTTTTGTTTATTCATGCTGATGTGTGCTTCTTCTGTGTTAACTTGCAGAGGGTTGCTGCTAGTTGTGTTTGGCTTGCATCAAAACTTGAAGAAAGTCCGAGAAAAGCAAGGCAGGTGCTTGTTGTTTTCCACAGAATGGAATGTAGGAGAGAAAACTTACCTATAGAACATCTGGATACATCTTCGAAGGTTAGATGTCTCATTTACCTGAGAAAATAGTTTGTTTCTATCAACATGTTAGTTTGCAATAATATTTCTAGTATGGTAAGATGAAAGTTTCGATACAATTGCAAGTTACCAGACTTCATTAGAGGCTGATAGTGTTGCTGCAAGCCTCCTGTTATTAATTCATAAGTAAAATCATCTATCTGCAGCTTCCCTTCTTACCCTGCTTTTTTAAAGGGGCTATTACTTCAGATGCATTTGTGCCCACCAAGTTTGCATTTCTTACATTCATTGGTGTTTGGGGTTTTTATTTATTGTGACAACATCAAGTTGATACATTTCATTGGTGCTTCCGTTTCCAATATTTTTGGTCTCTTTTTGCAGAAATATGTTGATTTGAAAGCAGACCTAATCAGAACAGAGAGGCATCTGTTAAAAGAGATGGGTTTCATCTGCCATGTCGAGCATCCTCATAAATTTATATCAAACTACCTTGCAACTCTTGAAACACCTGCAGAGTTGAGACAAGAAGCTTGGAATCTTGCAAATGACAGGTGAGTATTGTTTAGGTGTTGTTATGTTTTCATTCTCAAAAAAAAATTGTTTAGGTGTTGTTATGTTTATCTGAGTATGTTCTTTCATGTCGGTGTTGAGTGTTGACAACAGAAAGTATTTCTTGTTATGCTACTAGTTATATTAGCACTTGATCACCGTCATGTATTATGTAGGCATTTAACGCCTCAGTAGTTTAAAATTATTTAAGTTATATTTGTGTTTTGGCCATCACACTTGCCATTTTATTTTTTGGGCGGCATAAACTCTGATATTAGCTTGAAAATTAGTTAAATTTTTTAGTTCATACCTTTGGTGTGGCATGATGAATGTATAGCAGTTTTCAAGGTCCATATCTGTCCTTTAAAATGAAAGTCATGTAACTGATGTCAAAAAAAGATGTTCGAGTTTTAAGGAACCTACTTAAATTAAAAACGATATGTTTGACAAGCTTTGTGATGGTTATTTTTCTTTTGTAACGTCTTTCCCTTATCCGTTCCCACTTTCTATGTTGTGAGGAATCGCATCTTACACAGTTCATTTTTCCTAATAAAGGAAATATAGCCATCTCTTTCGTTTTATTATGCCATTGCTGCTTTAATTAAACCAGGTGATGCCTACATCCTTTTCCTTGTATATTAACATATAGTTGAAGTATGTAAATAAGATAGTATCTGCTATACAGTACCTCTTTGGTGACATAGAGATATTGTGTATACCAAATCAACAAGAAAAATCAGAAACAATCATCATCATTATCTAAAATGCCAAGCTGATGCTCAGCCCATGGTATCACTTCTGTTTTTTCAAACCTGTAATGAGATGTAGTGGGAAGGTACTTCTTTCATCAAGGTATCGTGTATCTTTTTTGGGATGTATATTTTTTCTTCTAATTGATGTAGTGATACTCTTGGATGAAACTTTAACTAATAGGGCAGTGATCAATAATTAATTGTCCTAAAACTTCTAGTTAGCTCATTGCCTATAAATTTGTAATGTTTCTGAACCATAAACCCTCTTGGGTGCTTTTGTTTGTGAGCAGTTTGCGCACAACACTCTGTGTAAGATTCAAGAGTGAGGTTGTGGCCTGTGGAGTTGTATATGCTGCTGCCCGTAGATTTCAAGTGCCCCTCCCTGAGAATCCTCCTTGGTGGAAAGCATTTGATGCAGACAAGGCTGGTATAGATGAAGTTTGCAGAGTTCTTGCTCATCTTTACAGTCTTCCAAAAGCAAAATACATTCCTGTGTGCAAGGAAGGAGGTTCCTTTGCTACATCAAACAGATCAAGAGACTCGCCGTCGCTTCCTGTATCTAAGGTAAAAGGCACTTACCTGTCTATCAATTTGATATCCATCTGCCATGGAACACACCCGATTCGATATTTAACCCCTTTCCTCCTTTTTTTTCTTTGTAGGAAGGTTTGTTGGATGCTCCACCAGTGAATGAAGATACTGAGGAAGTCGCTAAGGAGGCAGATACAAAAGCTGTCCTTGATAAGTTGAAGGACTCAAAGAAGAGTGATGATGACTCGAAAAACATGCCTTCAGAAGGGGAGTCAAAAGAAGAGCCAGGAAGAACTGACCATAGAATAGATGCTGGTGGAGAAAAGAACAAGGATCGAGAGAAGGACAGGGGCAGAGATAGGGAGAGGGAGAGGGATAAGGAAAGACTAAAGTCTCGTGAACGTGATAGGGGAAGGGAATCTGACAGGGAAAGGGACAGAGACGACTTCGAAAGGGACAGAGAAAAATCCAAGGAAAGGAGTCATCGTTCAAGAGACAAAGGTAAGTTCTGGTTGACTTGCAATTGTCTAATTTCCGGACTTCTTGACATTCATGTAGATTTCTGAATGTTTAATGTCCAGTTTTTTCTGTCTTATTGGCCAGTTTTTCTGCTTTGCCTTACTCAAGCTAATCTAAATACTGCAGGTCACTCAGAGAAACCAAAACATCAATCTTCTCGAGGTAAACAACTATATACTTTTGTCTGATCTTTAGTCTTGACTTCTAATGGACTGTATTTGACAACTTTCTGTGTATGCAGATCGTGATTACCTGTCTTATTCATCACGGGAGAAGGATCGTCGTAGACATCATTAGCTTGGAACGGCCTGAGAGAATGTGCTCTCAATCACTGCCAACTTGCTTCATTAAAGCTTGCCCTAAATTATACTTCACCGATTTCGTGAATCTGCATATGGAGGGTTTATTTAATTGGTGGAAATAGTATATCCTCCACCTGTTGAAATTGGACCCATCATTCTCCTGCTTAAGCCACCTAAAAATATGTTCTGGCTTAATGTTGCAGGTTACCATGCCAAATATGTTTGTTGTTTTTCTGGATTATAGCTGCAGTTCTTTGCATATAGCTGGGGAAGTGCCTTCTTGGTGAAACTGTACCACACCCTTATATATCAACGGAGAGGTCTCTTGTAATCGGTTTTTAACTGTTGTCGTTTAGTTCCCTCGAACAATTGACATAACCTTTGTTGTTCTAATAGCTTGTGTCTTAAAGCAGGGTTGTTAGCTTTCTGCACGACAGTTATATTAAGAGTCTAGTAACTGAGGTTTCAGCATTTCGAAGAAGGAAAGGAAAGATACAGAGCTATCATTTATATGTAGTTTTGAGCTCATCGACAAGAAATGTTACTACTTAATATTGGTATTAGATTAAGATTTTCTTCTGAACAATTCACAAGCCAAATAGATATTTTAAGATTACGAAGTTCTAACATTAACTTGGATATTTCACCATGAGACTTGATTGATATAATCACGGAGGTCACAGAGACGCTGGCGAACTGTGCTCAAGTTGTGTTCTTGGTCTCTTCAAACCCTTCATTTTAGAAAACATACAATGGTTTCACAATCTCGACTGAAATTAACAACACACCCAGTGAGATCCCCAATGAGAGGGGTCTTGTGAAGGTGGCGTTATGCAGTCAATGAACTTGTATGATATCAACCTTCAATTTCACCCAAGTCACGAAGTCATTCATTTCCAAATCAAGTTGAACGATTGATGGAGGCCAGCTTTTCTAGACTATGGCGTCACCAACTCACCACCAGTGAGTTATGGTTAAAAACACCTTTCACTGGAGTAAAGCACAAAAGGGAATTCATCATGCCTACATAATCTCTATAATTAATCTTTACAATAACGTGGTGACTACCTACCGTATTTAGTCCTTCGTTAGGTGTATAAACCCATTACAAAAGGGGGAGGGGGATGGGCAGGGCACCATAATATACAACTTCCAAAAACTACAGAATCATGAGTGCGACCTTGTTTCCCTCCCTATAGCTACATTCCGGTCTTGTAATCATCTAGCAAGAAACTGATAAGAACAATAGGCCATCAGTGTGTTAATCCAGGATAACTGATCCCATCACACACTAACTGGTGCATCACTTCACAGAGAACACGGTACTGCAGCAGGATCAAGCTCCCAGCAGCCTCTCAAAACCCCTCCTTTTTCTCCAGTCAGCTGAAATGCAGGTATCTGATGAGAGAATCTCCAGAACTCATCTTTTTGTATTTCCAAAGTAACAGAATTCGATGTTTGCTGTTTAAAGACAGACTTTAAACCATCCACACGAACCAGGGACGAAACTTTTATCCACTCTTTTGAATACTCAATGACCTCCACTATATCGTACTCAAACTTGTCTGGATCCAAACCTGATTTTCTCAAGCTCTTGTACAGTGCCCAAATCTCTCCTTCTCTTGGATAGATTTCAAACCTGTTCTTAGTAGAGATTGCTTTCACCACATGGGAGAATGAGCTAGAATCATAGGCTTGATGTTTTTCATTCTGGACTTTGAACGTTCCACAAACTGACTGAGCAGCATTTTTAGGCCCTGCACATGATTCAAGGAGGACTACATGCAATTTGAATGGGGCAGGAACTATCTTCTTAACCAGTGCATAAGTATTTGGCAATGTACTATTTTGACCATAAATAGCCCATACCTGATTTATTTGAAACTTCCCTGTAGATCTGTCCATCTCGAAATCACAAAAAGTTTCTTCAAAACCTTTATCAACTGAAAAAGTTGATATTTTTTTGGAACTTCCAACGGAGTTGCTGAGACCAAAGCTCTTCCTGCATGAATGCAACTCTCTATCACCTTGACATGACAAATGAATTGGCATGCGGGGACTTGAGTGACGGCTTTTTTTAACACAATTATCATCAAAGTCAGTGGAAGGACTGTCATTGGCAGAACTAGAGCTCATTTGAGTTCGCTTTTTCTCAGAGATGTTCATTTTTTTAGGAGTTATTTGAACCTTGGAAGACTCTCCATCAGTAGCATGGATGTCATCCCCAGACTTCAGAGATGTTGTTGCTTTCCTTGATTTATCTCTAGCTCCAAGTGGAACTGCAGGTAGATCATTTTCTACAGGTTCAGAATTAACCGCCCTGCTGTCTTCCATAACTTTTCCAGGGTACCAAATATCATCAGGACTGAGGGGTAAAGAAGCAGGATCAAGTTCAAAGGATCCCGCAGGTACACCCTCTCGTTCAGTTCCAGTCATTTTAAAAGAAGGAATTTGATGAGAGAACTTGTAAAGTTCATTTGGCTTTACAAAGAATGTACCAACTTCAGTCGGCCTCATTCGCTGGAAAAGGCTAACAAATCTGGAAACTTTATCTAAATAACCAACAAGAACACCAACATCCACAACATAATCAGAAACTATCTCCACAATTTCATACTTGTACTTCCTATGATTATCTGGATCAGAGCTCCAACTCATATCCCAATTTTTGAAAAGGGCCCACGTTTCTCCTTTCCTTGGATATACAATGTATAGACCTCTCTTCCCCATTCCGCACTGCACTTGATGAGAAAATGTAAGTCGATCAGAAGTGAATTCAGTACTTCCACGTCTAAATTTCCCACAGCCAACAGGCAACTCTGCCCCGACCCAAGCTCTGCTCCTTTCATCTTCTGGATAAGCATCAAGCCAACTGAACATCACCTTAAATTCAGGACTGTATACCTTCCTAATGTGGGCATAGAATCTTGGCATACCATCAGCCGTATCATAACACGCCCAGATCTGATCGATTGCAAAGCAATTCTGTGCTTTATGCTTGTCAAAAACACTAAATTCAGGGTCAGGATAATCATACACCTCTGGAAGATTACCATCAGGAACAGTATCTGATTCTGATTCTGACTCTGAATCAGAACCAGAATCAGAATCTGAATCAATAGTAAGTTTAACTTTTTTAGCACCACCTGAAGGCAGTCTAGAAGCCTGTTCACTGGCCACAGCTTCTTTCTTCTGAGGTTTACTGTCCTTAATTGACTGGTGAGCCCATGATCTCTTCAGAGGATTACTATCTCCAGCTGACTGGTTAGACTGTGCCTTCTTCAGAGGGCTTGCCAAATCATTCTCATCATTGCGTACAGGATTAGTATCTAGTTCAAGATCAAAAACAACAGGTTCTATTTTTTTCGCGCCAACTGACGGGAGTCTAGAATGAGGCTCCATCTCCGAACTTGATACATAAACATGTGCAAAATCATCATTGAATTGCAAGAGAGTATTGACATCTTCTTGGTCGCTCAGCTGTATCAATTGGGACCTATCAAACTTTACAGTAAAATGTAAGATCTTATCCGAAGGATCAATGCATAATCGGTGAAAAACTGCATTCACAAAATCCTCATACTTTATGCCTGTTTTTGCAATAACCTGTCGGGTAATACCTCCCACATACGAAGCGGATCCATCTGGAAGCACCTTATTCTTCTTACCCCAATGACAAAAACAAAACAGTGTTTTATCTTCAGTTTCCATCATGCACTAGTGTACATGTTCAAATAGTAACAATCCTGAAAATCTTTCTTCTTTTCTTCTAGAAGGGTAACAATCTCAAAAACTAAAAGCCTGATCAAGAAAAGGGAGTTACTTATCAAGGCTAAATGTACTAACATAATAATCTATAAGAAAGACACAAAATCATGAGCATTAACCAAGCATATCCCCAAATACAAGATTAAAAACATTTTTTTTCCGTTAAAGTAAATATATCTCAACCTTCATGATCTTGGAACATTGCCAAATAAAGATAGGAATTTAAAACCAGCCAATCAACAAAATTTTTGGTTGTAGGAAGAAAAACACTATTTACATGTAAGTCAGCAAAACAAGAAAAGTAACCCATCTATACATTTTATCTCAAGCAGAATAATCCCTGTCATATCATCATAAAACAGAAAATTAAACATATGACAACGTTATAAGATAACAGATTTTCGAGGACGTTTGGATTGGCTTTTAAAAAATAGCTTATAAGCTAAAAGCAAAAAGTCATAAGTTGGAAATACCCAACTGTTAGCTTTTAGCTTATTTTTTTTCCTTTTTAGCCTAAAAGTATTAAAAGCAGAAACACTTGCAATAAGTTTATCCAAACATTCACTTCATCTAATTCAATAGGGTGTCAAGACAAAATCCTCAATAAATCATAAAGCTCCAAACTTAAACCAAGAATCAGAAATTTTCAAAATGGATTCAGAGAAGTCTCTATGCAAAAATTCTCATGAACTTACTAGATACTATTAAACACTTTTGCAGTAAAACTTGAAATGAGCAAATAAGTAAAGCATACCAAGTTATAGAATTTCAAATAATGCAAAAAGATTAGGTAAAGAAAGCAAAAGTTTCAAACTTCAACTAATCACAAAATCTCAAAATGAGCTCAAAGAATAAGTTAGATTAGCTATTTTAGTTTGTCAAGCATGAAATTAGCTAAGAAGATGCTCATACTAAAGCATAAAATTTCATTCAAATGCAAAAAAGAAGATCAAAACAGAAACCCCCCAGGAAAGCAAAAAGTTTCAAACTTGAAGCAACAATCAGAATCTTTCTAATTAGAGCTCAAAATTGCAAACTGATTTTGAGTAAAGATTCACTCTTTTCACATTCTAAGTCAATTCTTCATAAACATCTCATTCTGGTACCCCTTGTTTCACTGCAAGTCTACATACTCTGAGTAGGTTAAAAGGGTTACCTTGAAGCTGCAGATAGTCAAATTTTAACCCAAGGAGGTAGTTCCTACCATGCTTTTTTAAGACTAAAACAGTGGATTTTAGGGAGAGAAGATCCATGATTTAGTAAGAGAGAGTGAGAGATTGAGAAAGGAGAGAAGAGGAATGGACACGTACTCTCTCTCTCTATTTTTCTTTTTTGTAAGAAAGAATACACTTACATTACACTTTCCAATGTATAATGTAACTTTATCTTTTATCCGTATTTAATGTTTTTTTTAAGGTTAATTTTATCAATAAATGAGAAAATTTATTAATTATTCTATTAATAATATAATTGATAAAATATGATAATTTATACATAAATGTTATAAAATAATGAGTATTGTAATTCAATTATTTATAAAAATAATGACATATGAAATGAAACGGAGAATATAATTTAATAAAGTTAATGATTTTATCCTTTCGAGCTTTTGTCAAATAAAATTGTGTCAAATTGCATTGACTAACCGATAAGAATCAATTTTCTCGTTTGATAGAGTTTATTAAAAGTTGATTGTGTAAAAGTAATACGGAATATTGTTAATGTCAATGGTATTAATTTTGCCTATTGTTAATGTCAAGGGTATTAATTTTGCCTTCATTAGTTATGATGAAAATTTGCTTATACAATATTTAATTTAATAGATCAAAAATTAATATGCATTGTATATACATATTTTTTTTATATTTGTTTATAAAAATAAAAATTTTTGAGAGACAATCGTGTTTTTAACCATGCTAATGAATAGATTGAAACTCAATATATTACTAATGTATAGAGATTCATGATATTAATAATATATACCTCAATACAAAATAAAATGCAATAGTAAACTAGTAATGTAAGCATTACTAATACATATGCTAGAGAATTTTATCAGACAAGATACCAATAATATACAAAATTGATGCATGCATTATTCTATCCAACACACTCTACCAAACGATTCAGGCCTGTTTAACGGTATTTTTGCTCCTTTTCCCTTTTCGCAACGATAAATTGATTAGCCTTTTGGCTTTTAGTTAAAAGTTTTGTCAAGGGACCTAAAAATAAAACATAGCTTCATTAACATGCAGAAAACACCTTTCACTGCATCAAAGCAGAAGACACAGAATCTGTATGTCTACAGATAAGAGTCTAAACAAAAACTTAGGGACTATCCGGATACCATAATACACAACTTCTTCCAAAAACTACAGAATCATGTGTGTTAGAACTTCTTCTACCAGTGCAGATTTTGCAGCCCTGTGTTATTGTTCTATTTCCCAGGGCACCAAATATTATTTGGATTGAGGGGTAAAGAAGCAGGATCAAGTTCCTTTGTAGGGTACATCCTCTCGTTCAGTTCCAGACATTTTGGAGGGGATTCGATGAGAAAACTTGTAAAGTTCTTTTGGCTTTACAAAGAATGCACCAACAGGAGTCGGCCTTGTTCACTGAAATATGCTAATAAATCCAGTCACTTTTTCCAAGTCACCAACTTGGATTCCAGCATCCCCAACAAAATCAGAAAGAACTTGCACTATTTCATACTTGTACTTCCTATAACTCTTAGGATCGGAGCTCCAACGAAAATCCCAATCCTTGAAAAGGGCCCATGTTTCCCCTTTTCTGGGAAATACAATGTACAGGCCTCTCTTGTCATTTTCGCACTGCATTTGATGAGAAAATACAAGTCGATCAGAATTATATTTGGAGCTCCCACGTCTAAATTTCCCACAGCCAACAGGCAAGTCTGCCCTGACCCATGCGCGCTCCCTTTCGTCTTCTGGATGAGCCTCAAGCCATCTCAGCTTTATCTTAAATTCAGGACTAGATACCTTTCTAATACAGGCATAGAATCTTGGCATGAAATCAGCATAATGGCAAGTCCAGATTTGGTCAACTGCAAAGTAAATTTCTGATTTATGCTTGTCCAAATCACGGAATTCAGGATCAGGATAATCATACACCTTGGGAGGATTACCATCAGGAATTGTACTTGGTCCTGAATCAGAATTAACAATGAGTCCAACTTTAACTTTTTTCTCACAGCCTGATGTCGGTAAAGGAGCCTGTTCATTAACTGTCTTAATCTTGGAACTGTTGTTTTGCACACTCCCTTCAGGAAGGCCCACTCCATTTTGATCGAATATTTCCATGGATTTACTGCATGACCTAGTTACACCGGCATGATTTTGATCATCACCACGAACAGCTTCATTCTGCTGAGGTTTACCATCTCTGGCTCCTTCTGACTGATTAGCTGTTGCTTTCTTCAGAAGCTTACTATCTCCAGCTGACTGGAACCGTTCCTTCTTCAGAGGGCTTGCCAATTCATTCTAATCATCACCTGCCGGAGTTGTATCTGCTTCTGAATCAGAATAACCAACAACTACAACTTTTTCCGCATGACCTGATGGCGGTCTAGAATTAAGTTCCTCCTCCAAACTTGATACATAAACATGAGCAAAACCATCATTAAATTGTAACAGGGTATCAACGCTTTTTTGGTCCCTCAGCCGTATTAAGTCGGAGCTATCGAACTTTACTGTAAAATGCAAAATCCTACCTGAAGGATCAATGCCTAATCGGTCAAAAACTGCATTCACAAAATCATTGTACTTTATGCCGGTCTTTACAATAACCTGATCAGTAATACCTCCCCCATACGAAATGGATCCATCTGGCATCACCTTATTCTTCCTGCCCCAGTGCAGTGTTTTATCTTCAGCTGCCATCATGAAGTAGTGCAAGTAGCCCCAGAGGTTCAAACAGTAACAATCTTCAAAACTTTTCTTCCTTTTTCCCTGGGAAGGGGAACAATCTTGAAATAAAAAACCTAATCAAGAAAAGAAGATAAATTTGAAGAGTTAGTAGCTGAATGTACTAAAGTGATAATACAAATAACAAGCATCTCAAGAAAAACATTTTTTTCTATTTAAAATAAAAACATCTCAAGCTTCATGATCTTGGATTATAACTAAATTCCAAATAGAGGATAGAAATAAAAAACCAGCCAGTGAATAAATTTTTTGGCTGTAGGACAAGGTTGAGCTAGAGTAACCCAATACCTTTGCTTGTTGAATACTTACAAATTATTACTCCCTCCATCCCAATTTATTTGCCGATCTTTCTTCATTTAGTCCGTCCCAAAAAGAAAATATTTCTATATTTGGTGACGGTTAAGATGTCCCACATCGGTAGGGGATGAGAATTTGGTTGAATTAGGTGAACTTGGACAAACCTCCCCTAATGAGCTAACCTTAGGCCTAATATATTTAACTTTAAACTCGAAAATTTTAAATATGGGTTCAAACAACTTCTTTACACAAAAAAATGCAGAGCACCAAGCTTCACCCTTTCCACTTTCTATTTTACTACTCCAGAAACATCTTAATAGACTAATAAACACTTGCATGATGCCTTTGTTCCTCTGTAAGTCTACAGAATCATATTGTATACTATAAAATATTGTGAATAGTGAATAGAGAAAAGGAAAAAAAAAGTTACCTTTAAAAGTTGGAACTGCAGGTGGAACCCCAAATTGGGGGGGTTTCTACTAAAACCCCAAAGGTTGCAGTGATGAATTTCTCAGCTAGGGCTTCACCATTTACTGGATAATGGAAAATCTCTTCCAATGGAAATGCTGAAACTTTTTCTTTACATAAAAATATTAGAAGAGTTGAATCGTTAGTGTGGTTTTATTATGACTTCTTATTGGCGGTCAGATAATATTTGTACATGTACTAAACTATTTTGATGTTTTTATGAAAAAATAGATCCGAAATTTATTTTGGAATTCTAATCAATACAATAATATACATTTTCTTTTACTATTATATCTTTAGTATTTTAAAATATGAAATGTTATGATTTTTAACTTTTATATAATTTTTAAATATGAAATTTTGCTTTGCTTATATAATAAAGGCAAGCAGAACTTTAATTTCCTGTCATAAGTCGAGACAAAATCTTGTTCAAGTTATCCATAATTACCTATTCAATGATCTGTGCAAAATATTAGCGTATTGAAGTTAAGCTCTTCCCTAATATATAAATTAGTGAAGATAGATAAATGCACAAGTCAATAATAGCTATTAAACTCCGATTAACAAAGCAACATGGTCAAATTTTGCAAATTAGAGTAGCCACCATCACCCCTACTAGCCCAAAAGTATGAAGTTAAGGCAATCTGGATATACAACAAAATACATAGCAACAATGATAATGTACTTAACATATTACTACTACAAGTTCTTCATTTAGGCTGCTGCAGACTCGCTCAACGTACGACAGAACAACACTGCTACATAGGATTTACATAGTCGCATCACCAGACACAGCGATAAGTAGCATGTGTCTCAATGATCTCATTGTTGTATGTGACCTTCACAACTTGCCCTTTCTCCAATCCATAGTACCGAGCTATTGCATCCTTTTGAGACATCCGCGGTAGCTGGAAAATATCAATACAAGAACAATACTCAGAAAAACATTGATAAATGAAACTGTATTGATAATTTTTGAAGAAAGAGTGGTCAATTGAAGTGCATATATAGATAGACATAAGAACTACGAATTTCTGCTGAGATCATTAGAGAGAATGCACAGCAAGAATACCATTGGTCTGCATGAGATGAAGGCAGAAATATGTCTCTTCACCTAAGGTCCTAGATGTTAATGTCTGATAAGTAGTGTGTGAGAGACAGGGCAAGTACTGTCTCCCATTCATTAAAAAAGGTAAAGTTCTAATGGCAGCAGTCTTTAGAACAGCATTTGAGTCATTTCACCCTCACGGTAAAGGGATAATGACTAACATAAAGCTCCTTTTAAAGGTACTGCATAGAAGTCACTAATACTGGTCTACTACATTAAACTAACAATTTTTTCATGAAAAGATAAGTATTAGAAGGTTCCTGTTATTAACCTCGTCTAAGACAACACTGTATGCAAAAAGAGATGCAAAAGAATTCTAGGTCTTGGCTCAAAATGCCATGGTATCTGGGTTACTACCTAACTGTGACAAATAACTTGGTGTCTCAACCATAGTAGATGGCAGCAAGTACTAAAGCTTGATTCCAAGACAGTCGATTTTAGCCAGATAAAAATTAATCCATTGTTTTTTCTTATGAATTTACTCATAAAAGACTTGCTGTTGTACGGATAGATTAAGGAATGCACAGTGTACAGATATACATGCATGTTTCTGCAAATTCAAAGGCAAACCTGCTTCTCTTCCAAGTTATACTTCTTCAATAGCTGCTCCTTCTCAGCGTTGGTTAACAACTCATGCTTTGGCTTTAAAACATGTTTTGTAATGTTGACAAGCAAGTCTGTGATCTGAAAGAGTTTGCAAAGAGGAGCCAGACACTTAGCATATTGCTGAGATGTAACATTTATTGTTTACAAATGGTCAATACCACAAAACCATCAATAAATGGAAAAAATGGAGCTTGGGACTTGTTATTATTTTTTTTAAAAAAAAGAGAGCTTGGGACTTGTCTTGGCAAAAGATTAATTAAGGGGGAGCAAATAACCAAGTAAATGTAGTTCCTTTTAAGCCAGAAGAATATTTCAGTTTTTTCCTTATTTCACAGGTAACAGTAGAAAGATATGGAAGTTCATAGAAAACCAGCAACGCTTTACGGGTTGCATGCTTTATTCGCCAAAGAGAAACTTTTGAATGATCAAGCAACTAAAAGAGACTTCAAATGGGGAAAGCCATTTTTGAACATACACCTTTTGTTCAGTCTTATGTAAATGCTAATAATGACAAATCCTTATTCATTCTGAAATCTAACTCACTAGCCAAGCATATCTAAAGCAAATGAAGCACACATATTAATAATAGCCAAATAAGTACCATGTTTAGTCCTCGCAATGGAACTGTTCACACCAAAAAACACCAAAAAGAACACATACTTTACCTGGAAAATTTCAGTTTTGAATGGGGAGTCCTCCACAACCTTCATAGCTGGATTAGTCATTGGATTTTCAATGATTAATATCAGCCGACTCAAGGATTCTTTGTTCATTATTTGAGATAAAATATTGCGGATGACATTCATTTTCACCGAATTTGGCCCACAGAAGATGACCAAAACCTGCAACAAGTTCAAATATGTAAGAAGTTAGTATATCTATGAAGCACATGAATGTATGTTGATAGTCCCTCTTCATCAGAGACCATCTTCCAATATGCTGAGTATTCTAACCCGTTAATGCAATGACTTCCTTGACTTCTTTAAAATTTGTTTTATTGAACTCAGCCGAGCCTCCAGTTTCCATAAGAAGACTTATGGAGCATATAAAACATTTCCATTAGACAGAACAGGATTGATGCACTTCTAGCATAATCAACAAGAAATTTGAATATATATGAACCCCAAAGGGAGAAATTCGGATATGGAGCTGAGTGATGAACTTTTTTTTTTTTTGAAAAGGTAAAACATTTTCTTATTAACAACAACATACCCAATGGAATCCCACAAAGTGGGGTCTTGGGAGGGTAGAGAGTGCAGACCTTACCTCCACTAATTGGAGGTAGAGAGGTTGTTGTTTCCAAAAGTGGGGTCTTGGAGGATAGAGTGTACTCAAGTGAAGCAAGTCAAAGAAAAAAAAAACAGCGAAAAAAAAAACATGACAACTAATAGGGAAGAGTGCAGAGGAAGGAACCGTCATATCAACAACAAGGTGAGATCACCTAAACATGATAAACAACAGATGATATCAGATACCAAAAGTCAAAAAAACTACAAGAATAGGCTAATACTACGACACATCCAGTGCTCTAGACTACCACCAAGCCACAGATTACATGAATAGGCTAGTACTGCAACAACGCTCGACTATCTACTAACCTTCTACACTTATCTGCAACCTCCACACCCTCTTTTCTAAGGTAATGTCCTTGATAAGCTGAAAATGCATCAAATCCTACCTAATCACCTCTCCCCATACTTCTTGGGCCTATCTCTGTCTCTCCTCATCCCCACTAGGAATTGGCACATCTCCTCTTTACATGTCCAAATCATCTGAGTCTCTCTTCCTCATCTTGTCCACCACAAAGGCCAATCCCACTTCTCTTGAATATCCTCATTACTAATCTCATGGCTCTTAGTATGCCTATACATCCATCTCATCATCATCATTTCAGCTATTTGCATCTTCTCAACATAGGATTTCTTGATGGGTCAACACTCTGCCGTATACAACAAAGTCCGCCCAACCACCACACTCTAAAGAACATATCTTTAAATTTTGATGGTAACTTCTTATCGCACAAAATTCTGGATACAAAGCTCCACTCCATCCATGCCACACCAAAACGATGTGTGACATCATCATTGATCTCCCCATTTCCTTGGATCATAGACCAAAGATACTTAAATATTTTTCGCTGATTCCCCAAATTTTGCTCACTAACAAAAGGAAAGAACTCAGAGTTCCTTAATACGGTCTTTAAGGAGGCAAAATATTGAAACTTAAGAGAAATTATCACTACAAGAAGCTAAAAACAGGCGATTCAAGAAAGGAAAGAGGGGTAACTAGCCTTATTGGTAAGGTCAGTTCTGTGCATGGCGGAGATTCTGAGGCGCTCAACATCAGGTCTTTGACCATATTTCTCTCTGAATTCTTGAAGGGTGGTTTCGATTTCAGAATTGGGTATTGCAAAACCACGATCTTTGAGCATTTCGAGCATAGTTTTGCGTGCAAGGAAGTACCTGTGACTCTCAACAGTACCATCATCAACAAAGCTGGTTAAACAAGGACTTACATTGACAACATCAACCTCCATTGCTGACCCATTAACATCCATTTCTGCTCTTCTTGTTTAACTTTTTTTTTGTTGGAATTGAGAGGAAGTAGGTGCCAGGGTTTTTCGGGTTTTGCTACGTACGATTGTGGAAAACTATTTTAGCATAAAGCTCAAAATGAAGATGGTTTTGAATCTCCCAATCTTTTAAAATGAATTTTCTGAAATTAAGAAGTCGTATTTGATAAAAAAAATATTTAATTATATTTATTAAATATAAGTTATTTAAATATAAATAATGTTTAATAACTATGATAAAAACATTATTCAAAATGATAAATTATTTATTAATTTTATAAATCAAAAAAATATTATTAGACATATCAAAGTAAAAATGAATTGAAAGTAAAAATGAATCGATCATAATAGAAGGGGCTAATTGTAAAAGCTTGCATTTCATTTATGCTTTTAAATATATATTTTTAAAGTATGCTTCATGCCCTAGGGCTGTCAAAAATAAAGTTGAACATATTCCGTCCAAAATTTTATAGATTCGGCTGAAAGTAATTTGAATTAGGCACAATTTTAAACCATTCAAATTTTAATCATTTTAATAGGATTTTCAATTGAACCTTATTTAATTTTTAATTTCAAATAGTTTTAATATTCTTTATTTGCATTGATATAATATATGTTCTTATATTGAATATATGAATTATTATCTATTTTATATCTTTTAATAACAATATATTGAAACTATTGAGATTAAGCTGGTCAAATTAAACGGGTCATGACCCAACCATTTTCTAGCCCATTTGAGTCAAATAAAATCTGGGTGGATCATAAACCAATCCAATTTCTGTTTCAATCCATTTTAATATTTCTAATTTCAACACAATCCTACATGCCCCAACAATTTCACTTGATGTAGACTAAAAAGAGAATATTTACTTTAGTGAATGTTGTCTATACTTTTCAAATATAATTACCAGGAGTACAAAAGATAAAACGAGAAAAAACAATTAACTTTCTTATAATTGAGACGGGGTGTTTTATGGCTTTGAGAAAAACATTTAAGAACATAAAAAAGATGTTAGTTTTCATCATGACTATTTAAAAATATGAAAAGAAGTTTCAAAGAATTAAATATTGAATAATTTCTTTTCGTTTTGAACTATGAAAATATATGAATGGTGTATTAGATTTGATTATGTTGGCAGTCAAATCCTTTTTAGCTTTGTTAAACATAATGACCTCCATTGCATCAATTAACAGTTAGAATAGAATGCGAGTGAAACTTAGAAAGATTTTCAGCTTTAACTGAAATCCTTATACCATTACTTCAATTTTACAGAAGAGTTTTAGAAAAGATAAAAGCATTACTGGTGTCTTTCAGCTGCTTCTCTTTTTCTCTCTTTTTTAAGTTACAAACACAAGAGACACTTTAATTCGAAAATCATAATTCGAGCTACTGAAATCAAATGAAACATCATAATCATAACCATTATTGCAGCTACTGCAATCACAAAGTCCACTAATCGAGCAACTAATGACAGAAAATTTCAGTTCCATCCATGTCAATGTACAACGTAGACTCAACGGATGCCTAACTTTGCAAGTCCTAATTCTTCCTTGACTTTTCCAGGGTACCAAATATCATTTGGATCAAGGGGTAAAGAAGCAGTATCAAGTTCAAACGACCCCACAGGTACACCCGTTCCTTCAGTTCTGATCATCTTGAAAGAAAGAATTCGATGAGAGAACTTGTAAAGTTCATTTGGCTTTATAACGAATGAACTAGATACAAACAGCTTTGTTCTCTGGAAAATACCAGCAAATCCAGTAACTTTATCTAAGTAACCAATTCTGACACCAGCATTCTTAACAAAATCAGAAAGGATCTCCACAACTTCATACTTAGGTTCACTATGACTCAGTGGACTCCAAAGAATATCCTGAGCTTTGAAAAGCGCCCATATTTCCCCTTTCCGAGGATATAAAATGTACATATCACTCGTCCCCTCTTTACAATGCATTTGATGAGAAAAAGAAAATCGATCAGAAGTGGAATGAATATCCCCACTAATGAACTTCCCACAGCCTGACTTGACCCAAGCACACTCCCTTTGGTCTTCATCTGGAAGAGGCTCGAGCCATCTGAACATGATCTTAAATTCAGGACCAAATACCTTGCTGATGCGGACGTATTTTCTTGGCATAGCATCGTGCACATCATCATAGACAGCCCATATCTGGTCAACTGCAAAGCAATTTTCAGCTTTATGCTTGAAAAAATCACTGAATTCAGGATGACAACATTGAAGGAAATCTGAATTGTCTTTATCAGAAATTGTATTTGATTTTGAACTACTGCACGACCTAGTTGTACCAACAATCTTTTGATCATCAACACCAACAGCTTCTTTCTGCTGTGGTTCACGATCTCCAGCTGACTGGTTTGCTATTGCTTCCTTCAGAGGTTTACTACTATCTCCAGCTGACTGGAACCGTGCCTTCTCTAACGCGCTTTCCAAATTATTCTCATCATCACCTGCAGGAGTTGTATTTTGTCCTGAATAAGATACAACATCAAGTTCTACTTTTCTCGCACCAACTGATGGCGTTATAGAATAAGGCTCCTCCTGCAAACTTGACACATAAACATGAGCAAAGCCATCATTAAATTGTAACAGGGTATCAACACCTTGTTGATCCCTCAGCCGTATCGGTTCTGACCTATCAAACTTCACTGTAAAATGCAACATCTTATCGGAAGAATCAATGCCTAATCGATCAAAAACTGCCTTCACAAAGTCGTTGTAGTTTATGCTTGTTTCTACAACAAACTGATCAGTAATACCTCCCGCATACAAAATGGATCCATCTGGAAGCATCTTTGTCTTCCTGCCCCAGTGACAGAGACAAAGCAGCATTTTATCTTCAGTTCTGTAGTGCACACAAACACAGAGGTTCAAACAGTAACAATCTACAAACTTTTTTTCTCTTTATCTGAGAAGAGTAACAATCTCAAATACTCAAAAGCCTGATCGAGAAAAAAAAAGAACCTAAAGGGAGTTACATATCAAGGCTGAATGCAAAGAATTTAACAACCCATTAGAAAGGAAACAAAAGGATGATCGCGTCTCCAAATAACAGATTAAAAGCACATTTTCCTTGAAACTAAATACTCTGATTAGATTTCATCTAAGTCAACATATAATCCTCAGGAAGTTTCAAACTTTAACCAAAAAACAGAAAATTTTCAAAATGGGTTCAGAGGGAACTCTGTACAAAAAATTTGAGAGAATGAACCAAATGATACCCTTAATTGTCATGACTCAATCCACTTAGGCCATAACCGACGCTCAGCTGGCCTAAGCCTAAATTTGGCAGAGTTTCCTCTGTACCAGGAGCAAACCATAAATCTAAATCTATCAGCATTCGATAAACAACAACACTAAGTCTAAGAAAGTATCCAATGATAAGTTAGTTAACTTCCTGAATAGTTATTCATACTACCACATATATTCGTATTCTTCTTGAGTTAAATTTGAATCCAAAGGTGTATAACTCTGAAATAGCATAACTTCAAGAATCAAGAGTAATCAGTATGTAACTGTCATGGCAAAACTGATTCAGTACATTTTTCAAATATTCAATCATACTACAATTTGTTGATAAAATCATTTCAATGCGAAAAACAAATCTAAAACATGCTATAGACTATAGCTGAAAATTGGACTCACAATACTTTTGCCGAATAATTTCAATTTGCTTCCAACAATTCTGCCCTCGACTGTTTCTGTTTTGTTTGGTTTGGACTTTGGAGCCAACAGCGTTGTTTTTATACTCTACTGATTGACTCCTCTTCTTTTTGCCAAAGCTGCTTTCCTTTCCTTTTAAATAATAATTAGTGGGAAATTAGTTAGGAATTTAAATGTTAACTTAATATTAAGTAATTAGTGGGAAATTCGTTAGGAATTTAAATATTAACTTAATTTAAATAGACCAAGCTCAATTCTTTTAAGTCATTCATTACATTAATGTATGAGGTGTGAACGGTTATGGTCCTTGATATACAAAATGTAATCGTTTTTATCATTCTAAACCCTAAAGCATAATCATTGCTGATTAATTTATCCAAGAAAAAAGTAAAATAGTTATCTTCACTTCTCTCTCTTTTCTTTCCTTTTTTCTTTCTTTCTCTCTCGTTAGTAAAGTATGACTTCCGTGGTCGAAAACATGAGAGAAGTGAGACAGACATGATTAAGAGAACTTCCGGTTACCAAGGACATGAGGGCACCACTAAGAGCGACTCAAGGGTAAGGTAAAGGGTCCGGGCCGATGAAAAATCTGATTTTAAAGGCCAAAAAATACTACCTTTTGCAGGATTCAAGCCCATGTTGTCGCATTTTAAAGTGAAACTTCCACCAGTGCTCCCAAACGGCTTTTGATATAAGGGTGGTTTCTTGGATTGATACTTTTAATTACTGATTTTAGCGATCTGCAATATATATTAAAAGTTAATGATATATGTATATTGTAAATATGTGTTATAACTGTTTTTTAAAAATACATTCTGTTTGTTTTGTAAAAGCTTGACACATCGTATTATAAGTGTACTAAAATGTGTGATAAATGTATTAATCATTATAAAACTTGCATTGTATTATATGTGAATAATAAATTGTTTTTTGTAATATGTATCAAAATTGTATTATAAATGTATTTAAAATGGTTAAATGAAAAAAAAATGTTATTGCCATGAATGGTAAAGATTTTCTTAATATAGTATATTTATATAAGTTTCTATACAATTAAATATAATATCGTTTTATAGACTATATATATGAAAAAATTTAAAAATTGACGAATGTATATGAGCCCATCTCTAAAGTCTGTGTATATTCTACCTTATCGGATCTAATTTCACAAAATATATTTGTTGTTTTCGTATCTATTTTGTGTATCACCTCTGTCTTTAGCTTTAGTTTTTTCTTCTACTTAAATAACACAGAGCAATAGCGTTGTTTTTATTATTCTCTTACTGACCGCCGCCTCTTTTTTTTTCGAAAGCCGTTTTTCTTCTCTCTTTACTATTATATATTGATATGATTATTATTATTATTATTATGGAGGGGGGTTGTTAATTAACTTAAAGACTTAAATACTTTGGGTTGAGAAAAGTATTAAAAACTTCTTTAAATTTTGGGTAAATTATTCGTTTTTTTAAAAATTATTGATAGTTTTGAAACACCATCTACTAGACTAATTAAAGTTAAATACGTCCCCAAACTTATATTGGTAAGACATGTCTTATAAAAGACCAATTTTATCAGTTTATAATATCCTTATGACATGTTCCAGGCTTTGAGTATCCATCTGGGAAACAGATTCATTCACCAGACTTATAGCATAGGGAAAATTTATGATAATAGCTGCTAGTGCAAACATGAAATTCATTCCTCTGATAGTTTTGGCTATCATAATACACAACTTCTTCCAAAAACTATAGATTCATATCTGCTACTGCGTCTGCTGCCTTGTTGGTCCTGCCTATAGCTACGTCAACGTTTAGCAATAAACTGATATGAACAATGTGTTGATGGATCATAAACTGACAAAGGAAAGTTTCTGATTTTTGAGCCCCGTCAGACCATAGTTTCAGCTCCAAGTCAATGAACATACAAGACTAGTCATGGATGCCTTCCAAGTCCCTTGACTTCAGAGATGTCTTCACATTATCAGACTTACCACTAGTTCCAGCAGAAACTCAGATAAAACATTTTCTACAGGTTCAGAATTTGTAGTCCTGTGATCTTCCTTAACGTTCACCGGGTACCAAATATCATCTGAACTGAGGGGTAAAGAGGCTGGATTAAGTTCAAATGATCCACTAGGTACACCCTCTCGTTCAGTTCCAGTCATTTTGAAAGAGGGAATTTGATGAGAGAACATGCAAATTTCTTTTGGTCATACAAAGAATGTACCAACTTCAGTCCGCTGGAAAAGGCTAGGAAATTTGGTCACTTTATCTAGGTAACCAATTTGAATATCAAAATCCCCAACACGATCAGAATGAATCTCCACAATTTCATACTTGTACTTCCTATGACTTCCTACAACGAATATCCCAATCTTTGAAAAGGGCCCATGTCTCGCCTTCCCTAGGATATACAATGTTCATACCTCTCGCTCCCATCACGCACTGCACTTAATGAGAAAAGATAAGTCCATCATTAGTCTAATAAGTATTCCCAACTCTAAATTATCCACCGCCAACAGGCAGCTCTGACCTGATCCACGCGCACTCCTCCCTTTGATCTTCTTCTGGATGAGGTTCGAGCCATCTGAACTTTATCTTAAATTCAGGACCGGATACCTTCCTAATGTGGGCATAGAGTCTTGGCGTAGAGTCAAGTTTATCACACACAGCCCAGATCTGATCAGCAGTTTTCAGTTTTATACTTGTCAAAATTCAGTATTAGGATAGTAATACATGATCTCAGGAGGATCACAATCAGAACTTGTATAATTACATGAATTATCGGTTATAATTACTTTGTCAATTTCTTGAAAAATGTATTCCCTTTGTTACATATTAACGGATATCTTTCAAAAAAATATTTGTGCCAAATTATTTGATCACTTACTAGATCGAAATAAAAATCATTGAATTCTCCCATTTTACCCCTGTAGTTAATATCATCATCATGTTTAATGTTCCAATAATTTCTCTTTAGAAGATTAAACAAAGTTAAAGTTCCTAACATATATCTTTCCAAAGAGTTCATTTAATACTTAATTACTCTTTTGTATTCTTGCTCTCACTCATACTTGTATCTTTTGTATGCCCTATGTCATATAAACATATCCATCAATATGGATAAAAGATGAATAAATTAATCAAATTGATCATTTTAGTTATGATTTTCTAAGTAGCATGTAAAATGGAAAGTGATCAGTTATTATGGGACGAAGGAAGTAATGCATTCAGTAATAGGATACAAGTATGGGGTTCCCTATCCTCTTATATTTGTGACACAGTTAATCATGTTGTCCTCATTTTTGAGGGATGACAAATCTTTTTTGAGTTGAGATTTGGAAGGAGGGGAAAGAAAACACCAAAACAATCTTTTCTAAGGTACTCTATGTTATTATCTTCAACATTAGCGGAAATGTCAAATCTACGTTACAAAAAAAAAACACCTTTCAATGAAACAAAATCAAGACTATCAAAATGAGCTAGTTATGAAAGAAAAACACCTAAGATCTGTAATCGGTTGGAATCAACTAAGGATACAAGAGATAAAGAAGGAAATCAGTTGAAAATCTTTTTAAGGAAGAAAGCATGTTCTCTACAAGGAAGCAATCATGCATATAATTTTTGATTCAACGAAGCAGCAATGGAAATCACTGAGATTGATTAGCCTACAACCTTATATATTCTTGAAATAAGATCAATCATCTTTGTTTTCCGAGGATCAAAACTCTTGAGTTGTAAGCTCTTCTCAGAAGACCTTTAGCATTCAACTACTACTATAATAAGGCCATTGAAGGAAGAAGAATATATACAAATCATCTCACATTCTCTTCTTTAATTTTATTAAGCATTGTATTACCAAGCAGTTTTATCATGTACTCAAAAGCGAGAAGAGAAAAAAATATATTCTTGATAAGGCGTTTTATCAAAATAGAAAGAACAGAGAAAAACAGAGTGTAGACATAGGAGCTATACTCATCATTTGTCTACAAATCAAGATACTTACGTCTAGAAGAGAATGCCCTTGCAACCCAAGGGGCCTGGATTACGATCCATTCCAGATCCCAACCTGTATAAAAACATTTGGTGTCACTTTCGTTCTATGCACTTGCATAGCTAGTCGACTAAAGAAAAAAAATAAAAAAGGACCATTTCACCCTCGCCCAACCCCACCCCCACTTGTACTTTCAAGGTTTACTATCACGAATTATTTCACTTTCCGCATCTTCCGTATCCACATTGATTGAAGAATCATCACTTTCACTCGGTTCAGTTGTCTGGTTCCGATATCTTTTCCTGCTTTTGCAAGCCTCCATTGTCGTTGCAGCAACCTGTTGGGATCCTGTTTGGGTAGGTTGAAACCAAGCGCTGCCCCCAGTCATTCTCAAGGTTTCTTGGTTAGGAAGCTCTGTCTGCTTTAAAGGCTCGTTGAGCTTAGATTCAAGGTGCTTATCCTGGCCTCCAGGCTGACTCTGTTTCGGTCTACAAGCTGCACCCTTGGGATCTAAATCAAATGTAGTACATGTCGTGCAGCGCAGAGCATGGTTGACATCTTTCCTGTAACATAAGTAGCTAGTGTCGCAAGTGTCACACTTTCTCCAGAACGTTTTCAGGATTCCAGATGAAGTTAGTTGTTTCTGTCTAAGGTAATTCCAACTGCGGAACAGAGCATTGACATCATTTTGAATATTGTTTTGCCCGAAAAATGGTTCTTGATGAGGTGGTAGCTTTCCTACAACAGTTTCAGATAAAACTCCACACTTATTACCATTCGGATCATCAGCTATCGGAGTAGTATCTGGTTGTTTATCAGAAGCAATAGTAAATCCAATGTTTTTCGTGCCACCTGATGGAGGCCTAGAATCAGGCTCCTTCTCCAGACTTGATGCATAAATATGAACATAGCTATCATTAAAATGCAGCATAGTATCGATACCTGCTTGGTCCCTCAGCCGTATCAATTCTGACCTATCAAACTTCACCGTAAAAAATAACATCTTATCTGAAGCATCAATACCTAAGCGGTCAAAAACCGCAATCACAAAATCATCATACTTTACGCCCGTCTTTACAATAACCTGATCAGTAATACCTCCCTCATACGAAATGGATCCATCTGGTAGAACCTTATTCCTTTTGCCCCAGTGACAGAAACAAAACAATGTTTTGTCTTCAATTCCCATCATGAACTAGTGTATATGACCACAGATAAGGGTAAAAATCTTGAAAACAAAAAACCTGATCAACAAATAAAATAAAACAAAATCACTTATCAAAGCTAAATGTACCAAAATACAATCCATAAAAAGGACTCAACAGAATGAGGATAAACCAAGCATCTTAATAATGATAATATTAGATATTGCTAACAAATCTAAAAAGTTGAGAAATTCAACCAAGACTCAGAAATTTCCAAAATGAGTTCAAAATAAACCCTAGTACAAAAAAAAAATATCATAAGAATATTAACTATTTTTGATGTGAAACATTATATTAGCAAAGAAGGAAACTTTCATCAAATGCAAAAGGGTCAAGATATTATTATGCCCAAAATCAAAAGTTTCAAACTATCACCAATCAGAAAATTTCAAAGTAGACTCAAAAGAATAAGTTTATGTCATGACAATATAAATGGGAAAGTAAGCTATTTGTATTTGTTAACCATGAAATTAGCAAAGAAACAAGCAATTCAAACAATAATTTTTGACCTTTTCACTTCTTTTGTGAACTTATTATACTTCAAAAACACATCATTAGTAAAAGTTGGATCAATAATACTTGTGAGTAGAGAAAAGGGTGTGTATGATTGTTTGACTTAGATTTATGATTTAAATATGCTAAATTAATAAACTATTTCTTCTCGTTTTCAAATTATGATTTTCGTTCATTAACAAGATGATTTTTTATTTAATCAATAAAAATATTCGTAAAACTTAACCCTAATTTGGGTGTTTAATTTAGGACGATTATACTAGTTATCACAAATTCAGATTTTATAAGGAATTGAGTATAGAGAAGAGGAGAAACCAAAAAAGGGTAGAGATCATAGAAGAAGAAAAATAATTTTTCTTTTTTAAAAAAGGTGTTAACAAATTGCTCATTTTGTGCAAGATTTCTATTAATTGTAATAAAAGGATAGCAAATACTCACAATTCACGACTCTCGTAGCTGTTGTCGCCGTCGCCGTGGTCGTCGCACAGTTTACTAGTTTATCATAGAGAAATAAAGGAATAGGGTTTTTATGTTAGGTTTTGACATTCTCGTATAGGGATGACTATGGGGCGGGGCGGGTTTAGGCTTGTGCGATTTGCGGGGCTGGGTGGGTTGATTTTTGTAAAAGAGATTCTTTGCGGGTTTGCGTAGGGTATTCAAAATCGAATCGTAATCGATAAATCAACCACAAAATTGACTATTAGTATTAAATTATAGAATAAAAGATTGGGAAATGGATTAACATTTTATCATTAACTATTCAATTTCCTTATCGGGTATATCATTAACCCGTTAAGAATTATCATACTTACATTTCATATTCTACTCATCTTAGCCTTATTCAATGGTTTACCATGGTAATAGTAATTATATATTTTTCTTTTGTTATAACTAACTTCAAAAGACGAAAGACGTAAAGCCATGAAACCTATTTACTTTTCAATAATTATCTATAATGCTTTTTAAAGAATAGAGAGCAAATCAGCAAATTTAGAAAAACACCGAGGATATGCACATGAAAAGTTTGGATCTATTTATTGAGTAATTGATAAAGATGCTTCCATGGGACAATGAAAATGAGATAACTAGTTGAAAAATCTAGATCGATTTATCTATTTGATCTTGTTACCGCTTAGTGTCATCTTCTTTTGTAAGGTGTTTTCATAAAAAATGTATCATAGAGATTAGAAATCATCATATATTATTAAATGTGGGAAGCCTCAAGTTGAAAAGTTGAATTACTATTTTATCCTTATACGAAATTAAAATATTATAAAATATCTAATTAAATAAATATTAAATATGCTTAAATTGATAATTAACTTGATTCACTTATTGTTAAAATAAAGTAGGAGAATGAATAGTTGTAACAATAATTAATTATAAATTTATTACGAAAAGGTATTAGAGAAACTTTTCATTTCTCTATCTGATCAGTTTTAGAGGTGTAATTTTGTCATAATGTGTATTAATACCACACCTCCACTATCTCATCATTAATATTCACACCTTTATAATCTTCCCACACTTAAGAAGTTGATGGCATAATTATGAGACCTTTTGATTTTACTCAATGATATCCTATAAATTGTGGTATTTGACACAACAATCTATACACTTTGAAGATATTTAGGTACAGTTTGGAAGAAATTAAAAAAAATGTCTATATTTGTATTGTTTTTATCCTTTAGTATATAGTAAAATCACTTTTAGCTTCCGTTCATAACACTGATTACTAATTCTTCTTATCTTCATTTGTTGTTTACAAAAAGGAAATATATACAAATTGTTAGATCCTCTAATGAAGTTTACAACGAGAGAAGGAATGTTCAAGTCTTCCCGGAGGTTCAAATCAATTTTAATTTCCATATTATATTCATGCTTTAGATAAGTTATTTTTTTTTATGTATAATTACTCTTATTTAAAAAAATTCATTGTTATCATATTAAATATTATATTTTTTTTTCCTGTTGTTTTTAACATGTCATGAGATCAAAAGAGATTATTAAGAAATTGCAATCGAAGTTTTTAATTGAAGATGTTTTGATCTAATATATATATAGGCAACAGTTAACACAATATACCGCTAGGAGTGTAAATCACATCTAACTAACCGTTTGATGCAATGTTAATTAATTTGTTTAGCTTTGGTTGCATGTTATATTGATTTTGGTTCAACAATTTTCATTTTAAAGAAAATTATAGCTTGTAGATTGTGTAATGTGTTTTAGTTTCTATTTGAGAAATCAATTATTAAATAGGCAATGAGAAATCGTCTTTCGTGATTTAAATAGTAAGCTCGTATACATGATTAAGAAAGGATTTTTTCAAGTGCAATTTGAAATTTTCTATTATTCTTTTTTCTCATTATAAAGAATTCTTTAATTATTTTATTTGATTAAATATAGTTCTTACAAAATCTAACACGATAATCATGTTTCAATTTTAACATCTATTAGTAGTTTAATACAAACTTTATAAAATAGAAATATAATTAAAAACTAAATTAGTCTAACAATTTCTTAAAATTCATCCTTTAACTATGATTCTCCAAATTAACAATCTGCAACCTGAGATGAGAGTTTTAAATAAATTTTACCGCTTTCAAGAGTTGGATCATTATGACATCATAAATATTGAATGGGTGTCACTCATTAACGATTTAATTTTGTGAACAGAAGAAGGGGGTTACAATTTAAAATGAGGAATTATCTTATATTTGAATATACGAGAAATCACATTTCAGATATCTAACCACTTATAAATTTGCTATAGATAAGAAGAGTTTATTCTTATATGCACATGTATATATATTATTCTTTAATATCAAATTTCTAGCAATCCATCATCATATTGAGGGCCTTCAAAAGCAATAATCATTTCATTACATACTAATATTATAATTTTGTGAAAGACAAATTAAATATAATCATAATCGTAATAAACATTATATTAAATATAAAATATATATTATAATATTTGTTGCATCTATACCACATATTTATTCTTTAAAATACAAACAGTAAGTAGACTATCTAAATATTGTGCAAGCCTAGCTTAACTTGCTAAATTTTTTTAGGTTTATATATATATATATATATATATATATATATATATTCAAATGAGTCAACATGGACTAACATGAGATACACGTGCAACGCACGTGTACATGACTAGTTAGTCTATACACATGGGCGACATATATAGTTGAAAAAAAGTTCTTGGTCTTAGGCTCACAATTTTAGGGGGCCCAATTTTTAGTTAATAGGTAGGATTAAACTTTTTTTAAAAAAAATTACAATTAAGACTCCAAATTCAAACAACTTTAATGAAGTGATAGATATGACTATTACTTTTAACATTTCCCATGAAAACTTATATCCTCCTCTCTTCATCTCTTCTATTTCTTTTCACTTCTGCAAATCGCACAAGCCTAAACCCGCCCCGCCCCATAGTCATCCCTATACGAAACGTCAAAATCTAACATAAAAACCCTATTCCTTTATTTCTCTATGATAGACTAGTAAACTGTGCTACGACCACAACGACGAGAGTCGTGAATTGTGAGTATTTGCTATCCTTTTATTACAATAAATAGAAATCTTGCACAAATTGAGTTCTATGATCTCTACCCTTTTTTGGTTTCTCCTTTTCTCCGTACTCAATTCCTTATAAAATCTGAATTTGCGATAAATAGTATAATTGACCTAAATTAAACACCCAAATTAGGGTTAAGTTTTACGAATATTTTTACTGATTAAATCAAAAATCAACTTGTTAATGAACGAAAATCATAATCTTACATCTTTCTCTTATTAAAAGCTTAAGAATTCACTTATTCTATTGATAATTTTAATTTTTCTAAAATATAGATTATGTCTTAAATTTGGAGAAAAATATATCGCAGTAGTCCAATTCATTTTTGAAAGTAATATCATTTTAATTTCTAATATTATTTTTGATTTGTGTCTTATGCTTATTATATTTTTTATTTGATATTGTAAATAGTGTTTAAAATATTTGTTAGATTTTAATATGTCAACTAGAAAATTTGAATCTGGTCATTTAAAACTTAAAAGAAAAAGTAAAGTTGATAATTTGATAAAATCTCAAAAAGATGTTCTTGATAATTTTTTGGAAAACAATGTTAAAATTAAATTAAAAAAAAGTAGGGAAATGCTCTTTTAAGAACAAGTCACTAAACTTAGTTGAAGTTGAGTTAGATAATTATATAAACCAAAAAGAAGAAGCAAAGGAAATTGGTGAAAAGTCGGATGTAGATTCCTAACAAAATCAAGAAAGATTAAGTGGTTTGGCTATATTATCGATTGAAAAAAAATTATTAGAAAATATTAACTACACATTATTAACAAGGCATAATACATAAACATGACCCTTAACTTGACTTCAACGGATAACTATGCTCTCCAACTTTGAGTGTGCACAAATAGACACTTAAATCTGTATAAAATTGAACAAATAGACATATGTGTCCTACATGACATAATACATCTATGACCACGTAGGACACAAAATTGACATGTAGAGTGTCATGTATGATGAATGTGTTTATTTGTTCAATCTTATACAAGATTAAGTGTCTACTTGTGCACATCTAAAGTTAAGGGTCATAGTTGTCTGCTGACACCAAGGTAAGAGTCATGTTTATGTATTATGCCTATTAATTACTTTGCATCTCAAAAAGCTAGAAAAATAGATCTAAAATAAAACATATATAATTTTTAAATTTTTTTAAGGCCTCTAGTTTGATTTTGGCCTTAGGCCACCAACGAGTTTGAGCCACCCTGCCTATACACCACCCTATAATTATTAATTTGTTACCAAACGAATCAATATCTTATAGATTGACTAGCGGATTAGCAAATTTAAAAATCGATATACGATGAAAAAAATAAAAAAACCCGCCCCTTTTAAAATGACCAAACGATATTCGATATACCAAAAAGTTAAAATGAAAAATCCTATGATAGATGGGGCTTTTATGGGTTGAGGATAAATTTGTCCCATTCCGCTCCAATGCCAACTCTAATTAATATAAAATTGTGAACTCAAAGTCACTGGAAAGTGTGATTTAAAAGCCAAATGACAAATGTAATAACCACTAATGCACTAATATTAATATTTATGTAGGTGTAAAATAGTAAATTATTATATATATTTTTGATGGGTTATCTGTGTTGACAGTCACTTTTGACCTAACATTTTTAAAATTTGTAACTTTATTTATTTAATGGTTCAAAATAATTCTTTTTATAATTTTAATTAAGTTTCTCGATAACTATCCTTATTAAAATTTAGAATGTTTCATTAGTTAATTTAAAATTACATTTTATATGTCATTAGTTACGTTTATTATGTTTTCTTTTAAAATTCATTTTATGTGTTACATCGGTTAATATTAATTTTGATACTTTGCACAATTTAAAAATTCATTCAAATATGAATATAACTTGCATATACATATATTTTATATATTAAACAATAATTTTTAAGTCACAATCTCGAACTCATAACTTAGATTTATTTTTAATAATTTTCTATATATAGAATAATTGGGTCATTAGGTTATAGTGGTGGATAAAAATTTATGGGATAATTCTTTTCAGATTTTTCAAGTGTTCAGATGTTTCTTCAGTTCCAGCCACC